GCTGCATCTCGCTGCCACACCATCGTCCTCCGTGGGGGCCGTTCCCAGTGGGACAACCGCATTTCCCCAGCAACGGTGGGCAGAGGAACGCACCGACGTGGCCGCGCACCCCTCTGCCCTCCCCACCCTGCCACGCTGGAGAGCAGCTGGGGGAGGAGGACGGCTTTTTGTCAGACCTTGCCTTCGTTAATTATTGACGGGAGATTAGGCAACGCGCCGCGCCGCCGGGAGCCAAGCGGCGTGGGGCAGAGTGCCGGGGCTGCACCTCCCCGTAGCAATGAAGGCACCCCGAGGATCCGCTCCCCCACCCCGCTTTCGGTCCCTGCTGCGTGACAGCGTAGGTTCGGGCTGCCAGCACGGCTCTCCCACCCCCGTGCTTCAAAGTGCCGATGGGAAGAGCAAACCCCGCGTCGCGCACGGTCCCGGTGCGCGGTGGCAGCCGCAGCTCTTCGCTTTTGACTTTTCCGAGTTGGAAAAGTTCAGACCGTGCCCCCAAAGCTCAGAAGAGCAGCGGGGAGGGGATTGGGGCCGGGGGCTGCTCGTCTGAGGTGGCACCCAGCTCCCCGCCGGCCGGCAGCTCCACACTGCGTAGCCCAGGACTTTGCACCCCGACTGCGGTCCCCTTCACCTTCATCCCCCCCCCTTCCGAACCCAGCGATCGATGCTGCGAGCCAAAAGCTCTGGGTGAGCTGTGCGCCGTACATCACCCCGGAGCTCCCGGTGCCATTCAGGACCCCACAGCATCGCACCCCACGGCCACCCCGGGCCGGGCAGCACCCGCACTGCGCCCTGGGCCGTGCTGCGTTCCAGGGAGCCCCGTGCCCTGCAGCACCCGGTAAACCCGGTGCCCCCCGGGTCCCGACGCGCCGCAGCACCCCGCGCACCTCACCTCACCCCGCATCACACCCGGCGTCCCCGGACCCGCACCGCTCTCACCACAGTTACTCCCGGGAATAGCCCTTTGCCACCGCCGGTGGTTTCTTTTCTGGGGCCTCCCCGCATTCAAACCGGGGCCAGATTTCGCGGAAATTGCATCACGGCGGCCCCGCCCCGCCCCGCTCCTCCCGCCGGCACCGGGGGGAGCCGACACCGGCAGCGGCACCGGAGAGCGGGGAACCGAGGGGGAGGGGGATGCGCTGGGGCCGGGCGGCACCGGGGAGCGATGCACCGGAGGGGCAAATGCGTGGTACCGGACGGGAGCGGCACCGAAGAGGGTCACACCGGCACCGGGCGGGGACGCACCTGGGGGTGATGCGCGAGAGCGGCGGGTCCGATAGGCGCTGCCCCGCTGCTCGCCCCGGGCACCGAGCAGGACGGCGGCTTTTTTCCCATTCCCGGTTGGAGCTCCCCGTCCCGTTCTCGCTCCCGAGGGTCGGGGTACTCTGTCCCCCCTCACGGCCCCTCTCCCCGTCCCCGCACTGTCGGGGCCGCTCCCCCGTTGCTCACCGCTCCGCTGTCCGCCGACTCCGGCCGAGATCGAAACGAAGGGCGAAGTGCCGCGGGGAGCCCAGCGCTGCAGCCCGACACGGGACACGAGTGGACCCGGCTGGGCTTTAAAAGGGCTTCCGGGAGGGGCAGGGTTTACTCCGTTTCCTTTCTGTTTATCATCAGTTTCGTTTTCCATTCCTTTCCCTGACTGAAGAGGTGCAGCCAGCTATGCAAAGTTTGAGCTCAAACCAGGAAAAAAAAATACATATATATATCAGTCCACCCCCAGAAGTGAGCACACAGGGAGTAGGGAGCAGGCATGGCACCATGCAAGCATCACTTCCAGGACTCAGCAGCAGCAGTTTGGGGGCTCTTCAGCCTCTAGCCATGGCCCTCCCCCATCTGTCCCGGTTTTATCCCTTCCCTGTTTGCTTTGCCCCTTCTCAACTCGCTTGCAGACCTCACCCCATTAGAGTTGGATGCACAGCTAGTCTGTCCTGCTGGCACTGTGGCCTGACAACACCCAAAAAAGGCACAAACCCATGGGAAGGTCAATGGAGTTCCCCAGGAGGGCTCCCCACAGTGTGGCAGACCCCAGCGAACTGCAGGGCTGTAGCTGTGCATTGTGTCACCACCCAAAGGGACAGCACTGGGATGGGCAATGCACTCAGAGCTCTGCAGCCTCAGCTTTCCCATCTCGTAAAGTTATCTCCATGCCAATATCCAGCACGTTCTGGAAAGAGATTGGGCAGCACTAAGGCTTCAGATGTGAGCAGCTGGGAAAGGGCCCAGGGACAGGAGGAAGAGGCTCAGTGCTGGCAGCGGGGTTACGAGTCTTGCTGCAAAGATGAGCTGAAGAAAAGCTCATCTGCGGTCAAGCAGCAACAGGAAGTGCAGAGGAACTGGCAAGCAGCTCACAGGAGTGAGGGCAGATGGGGAAGGAAGGTCAGAGAGCAGTTCCTGGCGTTTGTCAACAAGGGTGGGCAGACAGGGTATGATGCTCACTGCCTCCCATCCTCACAGTGCAGAGCTGGACCCGACCCAACCCAAGCAGTGAGTCATGGCCCATCGGCCATGTGGGCAGCTCCGGTCTGTGCACTGAAATCCCACTCCCTGCCAGCCCCATGGCATGATGGCAGTGGGGCCGCAGCCGTGGGGCCACGCTCTGTGCTGTGATTTGTCAGCAAAGGATGGGCAGCCCAGGACGTGACCCCGTTTTAACCTGGACTGAGAGAGCCTGGTGGCCTCTTCCTCATTGAGAGCACTGTTGGTTTAGGGCAGTGTGAGGTCACCCTGGGGTGGGAACCAATCCTTCTTCCCCATGAAAATGCAACTGAAAGGCTGAGGAAGGCATCATCTGAGCACAGAGCAGGCACAGACGCTGTGATGCTGAGCAGCAGCGCTGCCCGTGGGCATAAATCCCCCCCAGTCGGTGCTGAGCCGGGCGTGATCACTCAGCAGTAAAGCACCACAACCACAAAACCCAAACAACCCCCCCCCCAGCACGACGCAGGCAGCGATGGGCTCATGCAGAGCACTGAGGGCTCGCTCTTATTTTACAGGTGGGTTATTTCCCATAACGCTGCAGCTCTGCGTGTTGGAGCAGGGGAGGACATCGGCTTTCCACAAAGCAAACTGCAGGTCGTGCTCATAGCGTGAGGAAATAAGGAGCAGAAGGAGCCTGGCCGAACAGCAGAACGGCTGTTACCCAACGTGCAGGAGGAGCTGCGTGAGGAGGCGAAGCTGCATCACCGTCACAGCACCAGCGGTGGGGGTGTGCCGAAACCCGGCGTTCGCTCATTTCAGACAGACAAACCCAGCCGTAAGTGCCCAGTTTCGGTTTCTATTCCTCCTGTCGGAAGAAGCAGGGAGGTGGGGTGGAGGGGAGTCCACCAGCAGTCCACGGCAGACTGGAGCCCTGCGCTCACTGTGTGCTCACCGCTTAGCACTCGTTGCCCACGGGGGTGCCTGTGGGGCTGGAGCATCTCTGCACCTGCAGCACCGCAGCAGCACCCGCAGACCACAGCAACAGGGGGGTGGCTGCAACCCGAGCTCTGCGTGCTGCGCTGCGAGAGCTGGGAAGGGAAAATAGAAAGCAGCTGTGTCCAGGCGCTCCCCACCCGTACAGAACCACGGAGCTGCAGAAGGTGAGGGCAGGGAGGGCTGCAGCACAGCTCTCAGCCTGGAGCCAACGAGCAGAAGGTAAAAGCCTTTCCCCAGGGCACACACCCACGAGTGGTGGTTTACCACTGTTGCGCACGGGGCTGCAGAACTAGAAGAGAAACAAAGTGCAGCGCCACGGGATCTTTACTTTGGGTGCATTGCTTGCATCCTAATGGGTGCATCCTGGCTGCCTTCAGCCCGAGGCCAGCAAGCCGTGTGTTGTTTATATATTTCTGTATATCATCATACACAACTCACCCATTTTTCTACTGGTGGAGTTCCAAACCCATCCCCATCCTGGGCACCGTTCCACATTCCAAGCATTACCTGCACAGAGCAGCAGAGAGGGAACACCGTGGGGCTGTTGAGAGACAGGGCTCCCATGGAAGAGGCTCTGCTGCATGGGTTGCTTTTGCAGAATAGACAGACACCTCAACTGGGGACAGCATGGTGACATGTGGCAGCACTGCCCTCCCACACTGGAGCAGAGCACACTGTAGGGCTGGAGCACTGCAGCTGCACCCCACGTCCACTGTGCAAATGCTGCTGCAAAGGGATGGAGAATGTTCCCAGCTCAAGTCTTCCTGCAGAAATTTTATTGCTTTATCCTCAGGAAGGGTCACCAGGCTTGGAGTAAAGAAGAGATGCTGCACAGCCTGTCCTGCTGCGTCCCAGCTCAGCGCTGCCACTCACACTGCAGGGCAATCAGAGGCCAGGGTCTGTTCCACCTCTTTGCATTCCCTTGGTCTGATCTATCAATGGTGTCCCAAGTACAGAGATAGCAAGGAAGAAATCACAGTGCTATCTTAATGGCTGGCAGCCCTAGGAAGGGAGAGCCTCAGCCTCCACATGGGGCTGTGGCCCTGAGTCAGGGCACGTGAAAGCAAACACAGCTCATGCCTGGAGGGAAGAACCACTCCTCCTCACAGCTCTGATGGGTGGATGGCAGCAAGCACATCATATATATGCATGTGGGTATTTATAAATACGAGTACTTGTGTTTTCAGTTTAAACAACATGTTCCTGCCCCAAGCTGTCAGGACCAGACACAGAAAGGCAATACGCCAGCAAAACTCTGTCAAAAAAAACCCACGTTTATTAGCAGATAGAAGCAACCTGCCATTGCTGCTGCCAGACTTGAGTTTATAGAAAACCCACACCTGAGGCACCCAGCTCCTCCCAGCACCCAAACACCGGGGCATGCTTGAGGCCAGTGCCCCATTCCTTCAGAGCATCCTCCTGCAGCAGGTGATGGATGCCAGCACCCAGTGGGATGATGCTGGGCATGAGGTTGCTGCTGCTCAGCTCTTCACTCTGCACCCAGCACCCCATTCTGCCTTAGTAATCCAGTAATGTGCTCACAGCCTTTAATTAAAAAAAAAAATCCTGAAAATGGATTTTTTTTCTTCTTTTTTTTTTTTTTTTTGAGAAAAATAGAAAAGAGACCCTAAAGCCCCAGAAGTTGCAGCTCTTCCCGGCCCTCTGGGTTCCTCTGTTCTCTGGGGAATCACAACCTGGGATCCTCCTCTCTCTGACCTGGGCCACCCGCTCACAGTGCCTGCACCCAAGGGTCAGCCCCTGGGCTCTGTGCTGCAGGACAGGGACAGTGAGTGGTCCCACACTTATCCCACTTCAGTCTGTGGGCTCCCAGCAGCCAGCTCGGTGCTGGCTTAGCGCTCCATGCTCCTGCAGCTCACACTACACCCCACTCTGCTCCTCAGACGCAGCGTGGAGTAACTACCCCAAGAGAGCAGGGAGGAAAGCTTTATAAAAACCTAGCCTTAATTTTTTTTTTGTTTTTTTTTTTTTTGTTGTTTTTTTCCAGACCTCCTCCCATCAGGGCAGAGCACGCTGCTGCCCTCATCTCCTCCAGGCATCCTCCCTTCCCTCGCTGCCTGCCCCGCACACCTCCTTGCTCCCAGCTCCAGCTGCCCTGAGCCTCCTTAACCCACGCCCCTCATTGCACCACGCAGACCCAAGGCCGTTCCCCCGAGTGCCGTGACGAATGTCCCCTCCAGGCAGGGCCCTCTGCTTCACTTCTGCTCTGCTTCATCAGCCACCGCCGTCACCTCGATGGCAGCGGTGTGCTCGGCCGTGGGACCCTCAGAGGGCACACTGAGCACAGCACCACCACCACCCACATGTGTCACGTTCTGGATGGCAGCACCGAGCCCCGGCAGCGCCAGCAGCTGGAAAGGGCTGAGCACCTTCACAACTGTGCTGCTGTCCTGAGCTGTCGCTGCCGCCGTGCTCAGCACCGTCACGTTGGGAGCATCCGGGTGGATTTCCACCGCACCGGGGAAGGCGTTGCCAGCAGAGGCCAGTACAGTGTAGCCACCCAGCAGTGGGGAGGCTGGAGAGCTGGCGGCAGGCGGTTGGTTTGGGGTTTTACCCAACACTGAGGGCGAGAGAGTCGAGACCACTTTGCCCAGAGGCAGGCTGGTGAGTTGGGACATCGGCACGGCTGGGGTGACGGCGATCTGCGCCGGCTGGGACAGCACCTGGGAGGTGATGGCGGCCGGTCCGGAGGTGGCCCGGGTGAGCCGAGGGCGTTTTAAAGGTGTGGGGACAGAGACAGGAGTCAGAGTCATCAGCACGTTGTTGAGGTGCTGTGATTTGTGCTTCAGCTCCTTGGCACGCTTGCGGTGCTCATCACATTGCTGCTCCAGAGCTGCAAGAAGAGTGAGGTCAGTGCGCATCGAGCATCCCCACGGGTCCAGCATGGGCCTCACGAATGCCAGTTTAACACCAAACCTGCTGCTTTACACAAAAATACCCCAATGCTATTGGATAACTGCAGAAGCATACCTGCCAGATCCCGTGTGTACTGCTCCCTGGAGCGATCCATCTGGCACTTGTGGCTGGCCAGGACTTTCTTGACCAGGTCCAGCATCCTGAAGTTCTGCACCACATTGTTGAGTAGGATAGCATCTTAAAAGGAAGAGAAGAGACAGGTCTTTGAGGAACAAAACATTCCAAATGGCTTGGTAAAAAGCTATCTGAAAGCAAAGGTGTTCAGCTGAGACAGCCAAAGCCTGTGTGAGGGTAACACAAGGAGCTGGGCAGGAGGAGAAGTTGTGAGAAAGTGCAGGAGGTCACTCCTGGATAAGCAGCAGTCTCCTACTTAGCAGGGATTGATAAGAAGCCTCCTGGCACAGCAGCTGCTTGCTGCATTGTTATTCTGATGGCCTAAATTCCCTCCAGCTCCAGAGCCAAATGCTTGCCAAGCATCCTGAAGGCAGCAGGGGAAACTCAGGGCCCAGAGAACCCGAAGGAATTGTGGCCACTTGCAGCCCCTGCTCAGAGCTGCCCTCCTGCACCAGCACCAATGAGAACAAGGCTGTCTGCACACATTTATGATAAGCTAGAAGTGCAGAAACAAGTTTCCTTTCTATTTCGTTTCTGACTTTAACAAGTCTGAGTCACAACAGCTCCCAGGGGACGCCTCAGCCCAGTGCCTGCTGTCAGCTGCTCACCTCCCAGCTGCAAGGGGGGGTCCTGTGCCCGCTGCTGCAAACCCCGCATGGTGTCCAGCAGCTCCTGGTGGAACTCCTGGATGACATCATCCAGGAGACCTGCGTCCCTCAGGCCTCGCCAGAACGCAAAGGTGTCATCTGGAGGAAGAGAAAGGGAGGTCTTCAGATCCTTCAGAGGTGGAAGTGGGGTTTTCATGGCTCTTAAGAAAAAAGGGGCTGCACATTAACTAGCTTCCAAGTGATCGTGCTGTGCTCTCTGCCTTTTGTCACATATAAGGGTGAGGTCTCCCAGGTTTGTGGGTGCACAGTACCCAAAGGGCAGACAGAAGGACAAATCCTATCCTGCTGCAGCACACAGAGCAGCCAGGACATGGTGCCAGAGGAGCCCACTCCTCCAGCTCAGGACTCAACACACAAGTGCAAGGTTGTGACCACAGCACAGCTCTTCTAAGAACCCAACGCCCTCAAACCCACATCTGTTTCCCCAGCTCCAATTACACCAGAGGACCACAGAACTCATGACTCTCCAATTAATTTCCCCCCCCCTCCCCACTAGAGCCACACCATGCTTAGCCACTCCAGTGCTTAGAAGCCATTCCATCCCAAGCCCATGTTGCAGTTAGACAGACAGGTTGGCACCAGGAGGTCTGAGCAGGGCAGCTCCAGCAACAGGCCCTGGTCTTCATCCCTGACCCCTGTCCCCACCACCCCCACTTCTCCCACATCACCCTCAGCTTCTGCCCAGATGCAGCCCTACCTCCAATGCTGGTGGTCCAATCACTGGCATCCTCACATGTTTCTATGGTAATTGTAGCTGGGGATCCGTTCACTGCAACCAATAGCAGAAAAGAAAAAGAAAAAAAAAAAAGAAAACCAAGTCCTGATTTTTTTCTGTATTTTTCACAGGCTGTTTCCAAGGGATGCTCTCCTTGCTACGCTGCTGGAACTGCCCCTTTTTGCTGGGTGGGGCCACTTTCACAGGAGCCATGCGGCTGCGCTGTGCAGCCACAGCTGATTTTTCCACTCTGGAGTGCAATACCAAAGGGATTACTTCTGCAACCCTTACACAAGACCAAGAGAACTCTCCTCCCATCCCCCTCTGCATACACCCTTATTGCTCTAAGCAGTGCTCTAAGCTTGATTTCCTGGCAGCCCTTCTGGCCAGCTCGCCATCTGCCAGACCCACACACCATGGGGGTCCCAAAGCTTTGCAGGGGATGGCTCCTTCCCCACAAAACCTCAGTGGCTTTGTGCTTCTTGCAGCATCCCTCAGTAGTGAGCTAATAATTAGGGCCATAATTAACTCATGCTGGCAGCTCTCTGCCCCACAGATGCGTTCTGGAGTCCTCAGGAGTGTTTCTTAACTCTCAAAAGCAAAAGGAGGTAAGAAAAAGTACTCAGAAATAGCTTCCAATATAACAGTTGCCTGTAATTATAGGACAAATTAAATTCAGGGCTAAAGCTACAGAGATGCAATGTCATTTAAATCCAGTTTTATAAACTACATGCATGAGGGCAGATACAGAACCCATTGTATTCCCCAGTTCTCTTTAATCTTCCATCAGACAAAACCAATAAATAATTCAGCCAGGGAGCCTTCAGTGAGAGCCCATTCATTATTCAAGCTGAAGTCAGCTCCCCATGGGGAGAGCACGGGAGGGCTCTGAGCCTGCACTGCTGGGGACCACATCAGCCCTGGGGGCTGTGACCAGCGTGGGGCACAACAGCTGAGACAGTGCCCCCATCACACACCCACTGCTGTTTGCTCACTGATCAATTGCTTCAGCTCCACAGGACAGGGTGCCAGAAGGGCACTGGTCATGCAGTATTACAGAGCAACAGGGGGAGGGACTGCCTCTCTGCACTGAGAACATTGCCTAGTGCTGCTATGGGAAATCCTGCAACAATGCAAGGGGAAAAAGCGGAATAAAAGCAAACTGCAAAGCAAAATATAGTAGAGAGGCAATCGTAAGGATTATCAGGTATGTGGCACCAGTTCTGCTTTAATCCTCTTGCTGCAAAGGTGCCAAGAATTGCACATACCATCTGTGGAAGCAGGAGTGAGAGGGATGTACTCCGTGGAGGTCTGGCTGCTCAGGGACACTCTGGCACCAGTCAGGTCAATCTTGGTGCTCCGACAAGTGTTGGAGCAGACCTTGGTGTGCTGGTAAAAATCCAGCTCCCCCGAGTCCATGATCTTCCTGCAAGAGAGGGAGCAAACACAGGAACATGCTCACATGCTCAGCCAGAGGAGCAGCTCTTGCCCATGCAGCACACGGAGCAGCCTGCAGAGCATCCCCCAAACACCTCGGCATCCCAGGGAGCTCCCTCCTCACCTCTCAGCACCCTGCAGAGAGCAGAAGCTGTGCTCTGCTTCTGCCTTCCCCCAGCACAGTGCCTGCTAGCAGGACAAGGAGGCATGATGAATGCCTGTGGGGTTTGCTGGGCACACCACCATGAGCTGAAGAGGCAGAGACAAAGGTCTGAGCATCCCTTGCCAAGTTCTTCCCTCCTTACAAGCAACGTTCACTAAGAGTCACTTAAAGCAGCAACCACAGCCTGCTTGATGCTGGCCACTTATTGAAAAGACTTATTGAAACGTCCACTTCCTGACAGCAGGGAAACCTTCAGGGTAGAACTTGGTGGATAATCCATTCATTCCCTAAGCAACGTGACCTGCAGCCTTTGCAGTTAGCAAACACTGGGGGGGCTGATATGCTAACTCCAAAAACAACAGTGTGGAGTGGAGCAGAGGTCCTGTGGCCAAATTTCATGCAATGATGGGGACTTGATGGTACCACTGAAACTGATAAGCCACCTTGTTTTTCTAAGCCACCAGAAGTTTTAGAGTAAACTTTACAAAACAAAGGTATGTTTGACTAAAGCTACTCAAGCTCCACTTGAAAGAAAGAAAACAGTGTAAAATGACTTAAAAGAGAAGGAATTTTGGGAAAGATGCCATCATAGACAAGTTGGGAGAACACCGCTGGCTCCTGGAATCAGCCAGTGGGCTGAGCCTCTCTCCCCCCCCAAGAGGAGGCAAATGGGGTGAGATTCACATACTTTGCTTCTGACCACTGCTCTGCACAGAGCCCACGGCCCTGCCACGCTGTGCCAGGAGCGAGATGAGGGATGCCCAAGGATGCTCTGAATAGGTTCAGCAAAACACAGCCGTGTAGGAACAGAAGGAAGAAGGGAGAACATGTGCCTACAGCAGGCTGATGGCTTTCAAGGGAAATTTTCCTCAACAGCTAAAATGAGGAGGAAGAACTGAAAAAGGAAAAAAAAAAACACCAAACCAATTATCACGGAAGAATCTCAGCCGGCCTTCCTCTTTTTTTCACAGCTGCACATACAGACTCATGTGTGAAAGAAGAAGTTGGGAAGACCAAAGCCAAGTGAACTTCTGGCATCCTCCCACAGCCTGCAAGCTCCCCATCACACATCTCTCACACATGTTATTTCCCCAAGGACCCACCCTGCCCAGCACGAGGCTGTTATGCAGAACCTACGCAGAGCAAAAGCTGCTTAGGAGTACAAGACTCATGCATCAAAGCAGAAGGATCCTGGCAGATGCAATGTCACCCTGTGAAAGGATGAGGAAAGCACGGCAATCCCCAGGGAGCAAGGTGCTGCCTACAGGCAGGAATGTGGGTGTTACTGAACCTGTCTCAGGCTGGTGTTCAAGAACATAGAAGAATTTAATTGCGATAGTTGAGGTCAGAGAAGTTAAATGTTTCCATAAATAAGCTTTGAATAAACCCTTGGGAAAATAAGAAAACCAACAAACTGATCTAAAGAAGCAATAATGCAATGGGAGTGTTAGCTCATGAGCAGACCACACTTTGTGGCTCAAACAGAACTGCACACAACACAGCCCAACCCCTGGGCACTAAAGTGCTCACTTAGGACCTCATGGGAATGCAGAAGGGTTCAAGTGCTAAAACTTATGGCGTTTTGCTGCTCCAAATTATTCCCTATCCACAAGAATATGCAAAGCCTTCAGGTGGACAACATTTGGGGCCAGCATTAAGCAGCACATCAGTGCCCTCTGCGACACAACAACCGTGTAGAATGCTCCATCCCACCCCAGCAAGAATTCTTCATCTGCTGCCATGCAGACTGACCGGAGCATGATCCCATTCATCCGGATCGCCCGCTTCCAGTCCTTCAGAGTGGACTTTCCTGCCAGGTGCACAAATTCCTTGGGGCTGATGAGGTGTCCGTCGAACTACAGGAGGAGAAACATAGAAGCATAGCATCAGTGTGGTGAGCAATGAGAAACACTGCCCCCTGGAGATGATGACACCAGGCAAGCCTGGGCAGCTCAGGCCAGGGCTCAACACGTTTAAATGAAGTATCAGCATTGGAGATGGCTGGCAAGCATCCCACACCTTTGAGAAAACTGTGCTTGGAGCACCTCTAGCTCAGAGCTGAAGACATGCCGCTTTGCAAAGTGTACAAGCAGCACAGAGCAGTTTGCTGAATGCCCAACTTGCTTGCTAGCCCTACGCAGCAAAGCACCAGGGCTGATGCAGGCGATCCTGAGCAGCAATACACAGCTCACTGCCCCAGCTTCTGCTGTGCTGCACGGGGCTGTATGGCCTCCACAGGCTCCCCAGCACAGCCCTGTGCACACAGCCCTGCGTAAGCAAGGAAGGAGAAGCCTGTCTGGCCTCTGACCTCTTGCTACCGAGCACAGACACTGCTATCAGTGAAACCTCTGACCCCTCTTGGAGCACACCTGCTTGCACAAAAAACCAGTTGCAGGGAGTTGGCATTGCTGTACCAGGAGCCTGTTCTGCCCCTTTGTTTATTGCCCTACACACCCAGCCGGATCTGACCCCATGAGCTGAGCTAAAAGCAACCTCCAGAGTCAGGCAGACCTCAAAGCAGTGCTTTATGGGCAGTCTTAGGAAAGATTTCCCACCTCCAGGTCTCCTCTCCATGCACATGTGAACTGATGTTAAGGTGAGCATTTCACAATTAGTGCATAAAGAACTGCTGCACAGGCTTCAGTGCAAAGAGAACACTGATTTTAGGCAGCAGCAAAAGCAATTATCTGCACTGGGAGCTGTTCTCTTTGTAAAAGGCCATGTTTCCTCTGAAGAAAAAGGAACATCCTCTGCAAAGCCCTCATATGGCAACATGTCCATATGAAGATGAAGCCAGGCTCTCCTCCCACATCTGTGCAGGTTTTAACCAGAAGCCCTCCAGGACATAGCAGACACTGCTCAGCATGTTCCCTACCTAAACTTCTCAACAAATCCTCGAACTCAAACAGATAGCAGAAGAGCCTAAACTCCTTAAACTCTGAAGTGAAGCAGTGAAATGGGGAAAGCATCTTTCCAGCCAAGTCTGCTCAGATGGAGCAAGATAAGTAGCAGGCACCACACCCAAAACTTTTTCCCTCTCCTACTATGATGTGGTTCTGACTCAAAAAAAGCTCACTGAGTCAGCAAACCCCACGCATGGCATGCAGGATGATGTGGACACAGGGAACTCAGATCCTTCCCAGCCAGGAACAGAAGCAAGAACAGCATCACAGCCTCACACTCACCTGCACACACTTCACATTGATCCCGGGGCACACGAACTTCCTCCAGATGAGGTTGGCTTTGCTGTCCCCACAGGTGATAGGATACACAATCTCTGCCTCCAAGCTGTCCTCATCTTCAGCCATCTTCACTTCTCACAGGGAACAGAGCAAGGGATGGAGCAGAGAGAAACATGAGCTGCAGCTCCCAACACAGTGCTGAAGGTCAGGATCAGCACAAGTAGGTAACACACAAGGGACATGGGTGGGAATAGGGTTTTGTGGTCACAATTCACTTTGCATGTTGCACCCAAATTGCCCAGGTGAAATAGCATAGAAACATCCATGTAAATCCTCCCACAGCTGAATGCATGAAATCTGAGAAATCAGCAGCCAGGGGCTGCAAATCCAATTCTTGATAACCATGTAAGGAATGGTGGTGTTATGATGACTATACATTCTCAAACCGTGGGTGAAGGCAACTTTTTAAGGCGCTCCCAGCCCCAGCTCCTTTGGTCTCCAAATTCACCTTTGCTTGAAACCAAAGCTGCTGGAAAGCCAACACCACATCCGTCCGTGGCAAAAAGCCAAGAACTGGCAAGATCACAGGGACACAACCCGTACCAGGAGAGGGCAGCAGCGCTCCAGCAAGCAGCACTCAGCCCTCCCCAAATGCTGGAGAGCATCCCTGATGCAGAGCAGCACCCCGGATGCTGGGCACCCCAAACAGCACTCCTGATGGCAGAGAGGGATGCGGGAGCACCCCCAGCCCTGCCAGGCAGCAGTAAGTTTTCCCCCCCCCGGCTCTTAGCAGCCTCCAAGGAGCTGAGCCCCATCAGCTGCAGCTCAGACCTACCTAGCACTGCTTCCTTCAGGTGTGTGGATGCTGTGAAGGCAGCAGCGGCCGCAGCAGCTGCGTTTTCTGTCTCCAGAGTGTCCTCATTTATGTCACTGCTGGCAAGAGAGAGAAATGCAAAATGAAGCTGTGTGAAATTACTGTCTCTGGTGCGATGTTTAGAGAAGACTTTGCTTCAGAAGTCATTCCTACTATATTTTTCCACAAAGTCTAAATCTTCTTCCTGCAGACATGGTGGGTACAGAGGAAGGGGATGCAGAGATGCTGCTGACACAACTGGGCTCTGGATCAGACTCTCCCTTAGGAGCCTCTGCCAAACTCCCCTAAGGAATTCCCTGAAAACAACACACACACACAGTGCACCAGCTACACACAGGCTGCTTCATGTACAGGGGACCTCAGAGTGGCACAAGCTCAACAGATCTGGGAACAGAGAAAACAAAACAAACTACAAAATCCCCTGTTTCCCCTTCTTACAGCCCCACATACATATGACACTAATAGAGCACTAATGAACTGATGAAGGCAAAGACCACTTTCATCTTCCCTACACCAGAGCCCTCAGACCTCTCCAGCAGTTTTGCTGATAGGTCCACACATCTGCATCTCTCCTGGGCACCCAGCTCTGCTGGGGATCAGGCTCAGCCCAAGATCTGCTCCTCATTGCCCAAAGGCTTTAGGATATATATTGAAGTTGCTTTGGCTCTGCTTTCTCCCATCCCATTCTGGAGGGACTGCAGCAGGAGGAGCTGAAGCGTCCCCATCGGTTGCCATGACAATGCTGGGATGCAGCTGCTCATGTCCCTGGGAGGACACACAGAGCAAGTGGGAGAAGGGAGGGTGAGTGCTGGCAAAGCCCTGTGCCTGCCTCTGCCTCCTCTGGGAGCTCGGGAAAGAAAAGCCTCCACCAAAAGACTGCAGCAGAAATACAGGCAGTACATCAGAGCATGGGAACAGACCTCTCCCAAGCACAGATGAAAGAAAAGCCTCCTGCTGATTGTTACCATTTCTGTTTTCCTCTGCTTTTTTTCAGTCAATATTAAAACGCAGGAGCTAATTAAGCTCTTAAACCTCTGCTTGTATGTTTATTTATTTTTTTAAAACAGCAAAACCACAGCCAAAAGAGCAGCAGAAAGATGCACTCAGCCCAAAGAGCTGCTCCTGCTGCCCTGGGGCTTTGCAGCAGTGTAAAACAAAGAGCTCAGAGCCTCCTCCACAGACCAGCTACAACTGAGAAGCCTCCACCATGCCAGGGAGGGAGAGGAACCCAGCAGAGGCACAAGCCCTGGGTCCATGCCCTTACACAGCAATGCTCCAGTATGGGAGCCCAGAAGCAGTGGTTTGAGATGCTTCAAAAAGCCCTGCAGGAGTCTGTCTGCTCTGATGGAGGGGCAAGGAGAGATTTCCAAAGAAAAATATGAGAAGAAGAAAAGAATGAAAGGGAACCAAGCCAGTCAAGGCAGTCCCTGCAATGGCTCATGTTCCAGACCTCACAACCACATGAAAAGCAGCCCCTGCTCAGCATCCAAACAGCCACAGCTCCCATTCCACATCATCTGCGGCTCAGGGAATCATGCTGACCAGAACCAGCACCACAGATGGAGCTGAGCTTGCTCAGATTTAACTCCAGTTGCAGTACAGCCGCTGTTTTGTGCTCTAAAAGATGAAACATGATGCCCCTCCCTAGAGCACAGAAATAGCAGGATGTACTGGAGCAGGACAGAAATGTTTTGGAGAGCAACACGTAGCTGCTTGCTGCCTGCTTAGTGGGAGCACGAGAACGCCTGAGGTGGGTAAAGCTACCTAAAGCCAGCACCAGATGTGAGTTGGGGGCTTCTGCTTGCCAAGATGGACTTGAAGCACTAATTCATGCTGGGCACAAGCAGAAAAGAGGAGAAAAGGAGGAGAAAAGAAGCTAACAGCCCATGTGTCCCTGAGCTGTACCCAAACAGAGCTCACTCCAACAGGTGGAACAGGAATGGGATGCAGAGTGCTGCAGATGTCACCCAGGTTCACTCTGCTTTTGGATCAGTGCTGCCCCATCCATTGATAAGCCCAACCCCAAAGCTCTGCTGCACTGTGCCCAGCAGCTGTGCAAGAATATCCACTGCCTGGAGCTTAGTGGATCACTGTGAAAGAAACAGTGAAATAACACTGATTTAGCCACCGATGTGTCCACATCCATCCCACCAGCTGTCCCCTCTGTTCTTACCCATGCTGGGACAGATTGGTGGTGACCAGCACTGTCTTCACCTCCTCCACCCCACTGCCATCCACTGCCGTGTCTGGCGTCGTCACCACCACCACCTCCTCCATGTGCACACTGACATCCGGCGTGGCCATGGGAGCAGTGCTCTGCAGGGACACAGCACAGAGAATGACTGCTCTGCTACCAGCAGTGCCAAGGAGGGGAACACAGCAGGACAGGGATGAGTTAGACAGGTTTAGGGAGATGTTTCCAACAGGCCCTGCTGCGGGCACATCTCCGCAGAGCCACCAGCCCCTCCAGATGCTGTCACCCTCATTGTGCCCTATGGGCAGGGACCTCACGGTGAGAAACCCCAGCCAAATGCAGGCAGGAGCAGCAGTGTCCTCACACACTGCCATTGCACAGCACTCCTGGTGCCCAGCTCTGAGCCACTCAATGCACTTGGAGAGGCTCAACTCCCATCCGAAGGCACCGCTGTGCTCCCAGAGCTATGAGCTGCAACACAAGCAGCAACGTAAGCACAGCTGCTCCCCCCCCCCTCGTTAAGCCACTTCCCATTAACAGCTTGCTCTTACAGTGTTTTCATTGCACGGGAAAGAAACGAAGTTAATTGTTGCAGCAATAATGCACGAGGCTGAGCAGCCAACACGAGAAGCTGAGGCTTTGCTCCATCCCCTCCTTGCAAGCACACAGCACGGCTCTGCAACTGCTGACCGCTGTAGGATTTTAGCTGACCTCTCC